TTGTTCATTAAAGGACTAGTTGTTCTTTCTCAAGAAACTTCCAAGCTTCCTCCTGGGAGCTTTTCAGTTCAAAATGTGTCCTGAGAAACCCTTAGTTTTCTCTTTCCAGTTATAGCTTAATTGTTTCTCTGTTGCTTATTTTATTATTTTTATTTTTAATTAAGGTAGAATATCTTATGAAGTGCCCAAATTTTATCTGTTGCCTTTTTTGTTGTTGCTGAAGAAACGGGTCTATTACCATTTGGAAGTGGCATGCCTCTGAGCTTCATTTGCAAATAGGGATAAAATTATTTACCTTGCAGGACTGCTGTAAAGTTAGAATGAACTAGCTTAGCACCGAGTAGGTGCTAAATAAATGTCCACTCAGGAAGGGTGGGCTCCATTCATACTCAGAAATCTCTTGTGTTCCTAAAGACTCTGGCAACCTCTCCTGACCTTCCATCTGATTTCCAAACCTGGCTTATTGGTTTGTTTGTGTAGCTCTTCCTGTAAGAATCTTTCATCCTCTCTTCACTCTATTTTTGGAGGCAGAATTTGTCAGTCCCCAACCCTCTAATGCCTTAGAGATTCTGCTGCGACAGACAGTGTCTAATAATGGGACATTCAAATGCCAGGACCCAAACGAGATTTGTTGGCTTTTGGGTCGGGAGCAGCTTCAGACAAGTGTGTCCTCTTTTCCAACATCCTTTTCAAAGTATGTAGATAGCAATGGGGTTCACCACTTACTGTCTAGGCGACCTTGGTGAAATAACCTCTCTGTGCCTTTGTTGCTTCATCTGCAAATGGATTAACAATAGAACGCATGGAAGGATCCAGGTTCTATGGGGCCTGATGCTTTCTAAAGAGTACATATTTAACAATAAGTATGAAATTAGGAACAGGACTTAAAAAGCTGAAGCCTAGGTTTCATTAGCTTCATGGTAAATCTGCATCTGCCGGAACCAGTGGGGCTGCGGTGAGGTTTAGATGAAAGACTGTATCTAAAGTGCTCAGCACAGTGCCTGGCACAGAAGGCTATTGCAATGATAGTGATTATTATAGATATTTATAATAATTCTGATAAAATTATAAATTAATTCTACATATACAATTACAAAAATAAACATGTATAATAATTATAAAGCTTCCTTCTTTTCTCCTGTTCCTGCTTATAAGGCTATCAGAATGTGGTGAGGTGAGCCCCATCTTCAGGTTGTCCTTACGGGGTCTCTCTGTTCCTTAATTCCAGGACCCTAATCTGGCTCAGGAAGTCATTGGTCTCTCACTTACAAGACACATAACTTAGAAGGAAACCTAGGAGGTGTCCTGGAGGGGAATGCAGGCCAAAGGAGGGGCCAGGGCTGAGGGTCCTGGAGATAGCCTCCAATCCAGACGGCCTCAGCAGAGTCCCAGAGCTTCTCGGGACATGTGTGGGTCCGCAGGGAGATGGAATCAGGCCCAGGGAGGTCAAAGAATATCACAGAAATAGCAGGGCTCTCGACCACGAAGGTGACTATGGACATTGTGGTAAAGGCTGTTGGTTTACCCTGCTACATTTTTATGCTGGGTGTGGTCAACCACAAGAGGCCCTTATCCTTTCCAGTAAGAGTTTGAGATTTGGGGACAGGGGTTACATGACTTCACACACTGGTATTAATCCCAGTAAATTTCCATTTCCTAGTTCCTCCATGCATTGTGGTCTCAGATCTCTGGAGTGGCTGCATGTGTGTGTGTGTGTGTGTGTGTGTGTGTGTGTGTGTGTGTGTGTGTGTGAGAG